TATATGTATAAGTTTGCATAAGTGACTTAAGCGAATGTAAAAGAGTTCCACTTTTAAATAACAGATAAATCGCGACTGAATAATTTTCTAATATTAGAAAATTCACATTTTTCAATATTCAATTTTCATAATGTAGTATTCGATGTAGTACTCACAATCCACTTGATATTAGATATGCCCACAATAACGATACCACATACTGTACAACAGATCAAGTGCCAACTATGGTATAAATTCCTGTCGTTGCAATGGTTGCGAGAGGGGATACCATTACTTCCACATTATTTCTCCAATGGATTTATATAGTTATAATAGCATTTCATAAAGGAGTCTTTCTTTTTCACGTGCGTATCGATAACATTGCTTAATAAGATGAAGATACGAAAACTTTTTCCAAATGGCGGGATAATGCCAGTACGATCAAATTACAACATTTTATCATGCAATCAGTGAAGACTATCATCTCGTCGTTTCGAGAAAAATATCCATTACGCAATACGCTATTGCGTTCCCTAATAGGAACTTAATAGCTCACGTGAGCTCTGCAATGTTTCATTGAATTGCGAGTCTCCTGACGTTCAGCTCATAGTCACCGGGTCGAAGAATTCGCCGATTAAAACAACACATGCGTTGTTGTTTGTAAAGTACGCTAGTTAAATCGAATGAATTACGCATTTTGATAAGCGTTCCTATCCGCGTCCGCACAAGACTGGAAAGTTCTCAAATAGATTCTGCTAGAGACGATGGCCTTTCAACATAGTTACTGCGCCCATAACTTCATCGTTTTCATGGGATTTTATTCCTAATGGTATCAGCGTGTATCCAATGTCCAATCAGGTTTAGAGCTTCTTGTCACTGGGTTTACGTAACTTTACGCGACTCTTAACATTTTAACAACGCGCTCAAAAGGGTATGAGTATTATTTTGCGACTGCATTATCAGTCGCAGATCTTATCTGGCTTCAAGCAGTTTATTTGCATTTGCGGTACCAAAATGGCTGCTCGCCGCGGAAACCGCAACGGCGTAATACGAAACCATTGAGCTAAATTTTCCACGGGTTAATCACCGACAATGCTCGACTCGACGGTAATACGCGTACGTTAACTGCGACATTTTTATACCTGTATTCGTTGTTGCGGCACGCTTTAATAAACGTTCACCATTTTTCTTTCACCATTGCTTATCACTATATGTACATATATGCGTCTATAAGATTTTATTAACTCTTCATTATAAAATTACTATATTATCTATTATTGTATGTGTACAAAGTAACTAATAATTCTTTGTACCCAATGAATAATTTAGGGTAGGGTAAGCATTTCATTTAAAAAATACGCTCATTTCGTTCACTTGTTATTCGAGCCACCCTCTAATAATAGCCTCCCTAATGCAAACATTATTACACTTAATATTATGTTGCAAAATAAGTTCTTTCTTTATTAGTGTTAATTCTGTCTGAATTACATTTTAATTTTTTAAAAACCATAGTCCATTTAAAGATTGGGTGCTTAAAAATGAGGAAAGCTGATGTTCTCACAATCAGTTCAATTTTGAAGTTGAAACAGCCGGTGATCTTCCCATGAAGTAAAAGGGATTTGAATGCCGCCATGGCAGCGTTCGTATAATTGGTCCCGCACGGCTCGCTTCCCCTCTTTTTCGCGCGTATTTCGATCCCCATTACTATTCTCCCCATGCGCGTTCGCTGACCATGCCTAGCATACCCCCATCAAGTACCAGTCCCTACCATGGTCGCGTCGTCCCCACTTTCCGGCCGAGGGACAAATTATACGAACGCTGCTCCATGGATGCTACGTCAGCACAGCGCCATTAACAGTACCATGGCCATGGCCGTCTTATTAGAGATGGCCGGACAGTACGCTAACTGGCGCTTACTATATTCTTTATAAGTAACACATTTATAAATATCAGAGACATTTATATCAGTTGTGTTTGCTATGTTTATAATTCTTATATATTTGTTATACATAATTGATAACAAATATTACAAATTTCAGAACACGCATATATATTACACTCCGAGAACTTAATTTTTGATATGTTTACAATTTTAAATCTAAAATGGCCAACGAATGGAAGCGTCCGTGATTATATAGTTGTTCAAATGGATGCACAAGAACACACTTTATGTTTCTACATCATGACATTATACACCTGAGAATTACTGTTTTGAGAAGTCATTAAGTACTTCATTACAATTGTTTTATGAAATATCATGACGGCACTTACATTTCATATGTTCAATAAGCAAATTCAAAATTACGTGGGACCTCATTGAGGGCGGCACTTGTGGGCTCAACATCGAGAGGACTAGAGGACTCTCATTTCCTCTCTGACTCTGATGTAGTGAGAGATCAGATAAAGTAAGATAAAGTGAAAGCGTGCAGCGAGAGATCGTTCTGTATTCGCAAGAATAATCTGAATAAATTTTGAAATATTGTCAATATTGATGCCATGGTTCGACCCTGATAATTTCTAAGCAAAATCAACTTCGCACACGTACACGCTTATAATTTATATTAAGAATTAGTGCCTGATAGATACGTAACCTGAAACTTACTTTTTGGCATTGGAAAGTTTAGTATATAAAGAGCACGAAACAATTGACCACGAAAAGGAAAACTGCTATTTCAAGCAACTGAAAATACAAGCGATTATTATAAATAACCATTAAGAGGCGTTTGGTAATATATTTTTCAGATTTACCTTTTCCCATAATTAAGTATGAAAATTTAAAATACGATATTAGTATTTTATCAGAAACATAACTATTGATGAACATATGTATGTGTATTTTTCTATAGTTGAATCAAAATCAATTCAATGATTTTTTTTAGCACTTGAGTTTCGTAAATTTTGAGAGTAAGCAATATTTACAATCACAATGAAATGTCATTATGAAGTATTGGGAGTACAAAGAAATGCTACTGATGATGATATAAAAAAAGCTTATAGGAAATTAGCATTGAAATGGCATCCAGATAAAAATTTAGATAATCCAGAAGACGCTAAAGAACAATTTCAAATTGTTCAACAAGCTTGGGAAGTTTTAAGTGATCCTCATGAACGTACTTGGTATGATAATCATCGAGAAGCTATCCTTAAGGGTGGTATTGATGAAAATTATAAGGACGATTCCATTGATCTCTTCCAATATTTTTCAACTACTTGCTTCAAAGGCTATGGAGATGATGAGAAAGGATTTTATACAGTATATCGCAGTGTATTTGAAAAATTAGCAGCTGAAGATGCAGAATTTGCGAAAGAAGAAGATTCAGACGAAGAAGTTCCAGGATTTGGAGATTCACAGAGCTCATATGAAGATGTTGTTCATAATTTTTATGCTTATTGGCAAAGTTATAGCACAAAAAGATCATTTGCATGGTTAGATACTTATGACATAAGAGATGCACCTAACAGAAAAGTTGTGAGGCTTATTGAGAAAGAAAATAAGAAAGTTCGAGATAAAGCTAAAAAGGAAAGAAATGAACAAGTAAGGAATTTAGTTGCTTTCGTACGTAAACGCGATAAAAGAGTGCAACTACACGTAACGAAACTGGCGGAACGTGCAAAAGAAAATTTGAAGAAATCAGAAGAAAGAAAAAGACAACAGGTATTAGAGAGACAAAAACAGTTAAAAGAACACAAAATGTCAGATTGGTTGAAATGTTCACACATAGAAGCAGAGCTAAAAGTTATTGAAGCCAATCTTAGTAAAGAATTTGGCGATGATTCATCTTCAGAGGATGATACAGATAATGAAAATACATCGAATGATAATGCTCTTTATTGTGTAGCTTGTAACAAAATATTTAAGACACAGAAAGCATTTTCAAATCATGAAAATTCTAAAAAACACAAGGAAAATATTACTACAATGAAAGCATTTATGATGAAAGAAGACGAAGAATTTGAAAGTTCCGAAGATATTGATGTTAGCTCTCAATCATGTTCAGAAAATGATAAAAAATTAGCGACAAATTCACAGATGCCTGATTTCTTATTAAATCCCTCTCAAAGTAATACAAAGGATAATAATATTGACAGACAGGAGACTTCAGAAGAAGAATTAATATCAGATGATGAAGACACAGATGAATTTCATAAGTCAAAACAAACGAAATCTTATCCAGTAGGAATCAAACCTGCTACAGGACCTCAAATGGATGATGCTTTTTACATACCACCGAAAAATAATGAAGATAATCATGAATATTTAACATCTGAAAGTGAGCTTATTTCTGATCAAGAAAATGAAGAAATTATGCAGTCTAAGAAAGAAAAGAAGAAGAAACGAAAGAAAAATGTTCAAAATCCAATAGCAGACCAAGTTGAGGATGACGACTCAAAAGTAAATGAAGATATTTTACTGTCAAAGAAACAACGTAAAAAGCAGCACCAAAAACAAACAATGCTTGGTAAATTTGAAAAGGTTTCTGATAAAACATTTGATGACAAATCAGAGGAGTGTGAAGGAGAGATGGGCAAAGAAATAACTGGGACTGAAGATAATTTAGAAACGAATAATGTAGTTAGTGAAAATTCTAAGATTAATAAATCTAAGAATTCAAGAAAAAAAACAGAAAAGGATGGTGAAAGCAAAAACAGAAAAGGATCACAAACTATTGAAGTTTCAGATTTGGCACATTGTTGTGTCACGTGTAAAGCTGAATTTCCTAGTAAAAACAAATTATTTGAACATTTAAAAAAAACAGGACACTCTGTATATATACCGAATCAAGTGAAAAATAAGAAAAATCAAGAGAAAACTAGTAACAGGAAGGGAATAGACAAAAGAAGTCATTGATATTTAAATAATTGAATTAATTT